TGTAAGCACAAAGCTTAGAGAGTTCCCCAAAATACCACACATAACACATATTAGCCACTTGAGGCTATAACTCTGTGGGTCCGTGCACCCAAACTCTGTGAACCCTCAGGTTCTAACTCTGTAAACATGCACAACATAAATCACATAGAAATAATGCACTACAACATATAACATACCTAGCATACAAATACTCTATCACATAACTCTGGTTACCTACTCAAGGTAAAGTATAGTGAGAAGACTCACCTCGCGTGTCTCGGTAAGTCGTAAATCCTGAAATAACTATCGCTCGATCTCCCGAGCTATAGTCCTCCTAAATCACAATACATCTCTAATTAACACTTTCCCAACTAAGGTTGACTACTCTTTAACAAGTCACCTTAGGTCAACGCCGGTCAACGGTCAACGGTCAACTTTGACCGGACTCGGTGAGTGCACTATAGCGACTCGACGAGTCTGAGCGTATACACTGATTTCCCTGGAATCCTCCCTTGACACGTCGAGTATTCTCCTAACTCGACGAGTTCCACCTGGCATGAGTTCTGGGGCCACCACGACTCGACTCCCCGAGTCTCAAGAACAACTCGGAGAGTCCAGCTTGACTCAGTCCACTTGCCTACTCTGACTTCTCCCCCCCCCCCCCCCGACTCACTGAGTCAACCCTCCCCAACTCGGCAAGACCACTCGCTGTGTGGTCGGGCAATATTCATACGACTCGCCGAGTCTGTTCTTCAGACTCGGCGAGTCCGTGCCATGCAATGACTCAAACTTGCTCATAAGGTCAGTTCCAGTCCATTAACCCATAGATCCAGCCCTTCCAAGCTTATTTACCATGTAAAGTCACTATCTTGATGCACATACAATCTCTATATGACCATATATGATGTTTTTGTCTCAAATACTACAACTCAAGGTCATAAACTCCATTGCTATACATAAAGCTTGACGAGTGAGGCTCTGTGGACCTCTATGGATCCAGATCCAGAGCCTCAACACAAGAAGGGAACTATTTGGCATCAAATCAACCCAAAAATGTCCATAACAAACCCTAAATCCCATTATACTTCACAAAATAGAAGATAAACCGAAATCATACCTCTAGATCGATGATCTAAGCTTCAAATCCACAGAATAGCAACCTCCTTTGCTTCCTCTTGCCTAGAATCTTCTCCTTCTTTGCTAAATGACACACACAAGGTCAAGAAATGCTTTCTTTCTCTCTCAAAACGTTCAAGCACTCAAGGGTTTCTCTCTAAGGGTTGGGTGAGCACAAATGACGGCCATAAGGCCCTTTAAATAGGTCTCAAACCCCGGAAATTAGGGTTTCACCACACAGCGTGGACTCGCCGAGTCCACTCTTGGACTCGTCGAGTCCGGATGCGAACCCTTGCCCAAATCCGCGATCCTACTCGGCGAGTTCGAGCTCCAACTCGCCGAGTCCACTCACAATTCCCAAAAATAAGCCAAAAAAATAAATACCTAGAAATTTCGGGCTGTTACATGAAGAAGAGCCATCAAGGGTCCGAGCCGTGGTACCCTTCGAATAGCTCTCCCTCTTCTTCCCTCTACCTTTCCTGATTGCTAAGACAGGGGTGGGGTTTGGAGTAAGAGTAGGAGTGTTAACAACTGAATTACCTTTAAGACATGTTTCTATGGTCTTTAAGAGTCCTTGAGGTTTGTTGAGTGTTACTTCTTCCTTATTTATGTGGTATGTCATGCAGAATTGATCATAACATGAGGGTAAGGAGTGCAAAATGATATCTATTGCAAGCTCCTCAGGAAAGTTCACATTAAGCTTTAGCAAACAATCCACATACCTTTGCATTTTCTGCATGTGGCTCGTGACATAATCTTTTTCCTTCATCCTGGCTATTATCATGGAGGAGATTATTTCATACCACTCGTGACGAGCACTCTGATGGTATCTTTCCATCATATCATGGTGCATCTAAAAAGGGTAGTAGTCCTCATAGGACTTCTAGAGTTCAACTGTCATTGTGGCCATCATGATGCATCTTTGCGAATTTGGTGGCATCTGTTTCATAAGTGCGAAAGTCAGCGATCTCCTGGGGAGTAGCAGTGGACTCATCAATATCCTTTAGCTCCTTATCGAGGACATTTTCCTTTTCCTCGTAACGAGTCACCATCCTGATGTTCCAGATCCAATCCATAATGTTGGAACCATCGAAGATGATGCTCTTACATAGGTTCATGAGGGAAATGGATCCAGTAAGGTTTGAGCCAAAAGTAGTGTTGTTGGAAGACATCTAAAAAACAAGAGAACAAGTTTAGTTTAGATATATAGGTAGTCCTTAATAAAACACCCAAATGTAATATTAATGTTAGGATCCAATCACAATATATCATAACTTAGAAGATGCATGTCGTAATCTAAACTATAACATATTTGAAAGGTAGGTGAATGGCAATTCACCAATTTCCACCATTAACCGAAATATAAATTATTAGGTTTTAATTGGTTCTTAGAAATTCCTAAATTCTTTTGAGATTCAATGCACTTTTCAAAGGCATGTTTCAATCTCGAGAGTGCCCTCCAAGTTTTGTGACTAAGATACCGAGGATCACAAAATAAGGTGTGAACTTACCATGCAAATCACTTGGTACCCTTAAAGTTTATCACTCAATCGATGTTCCGGTTAACCACAAGCTCTCCACTGACCTATAATAAACTTTAAGTCATCCTTTACCTACCTTGTTAACTCCAGGTTAGTGTGTCGATTAACCACACACGCTCCACTAACGACATAAACAAAGAGTAAAGTGTAATTTCATAGATTAGCACCTTTTTCACATTTTTCCTAAAGTAACTAAGATTGGGAATTTAATAACAGATTTAGTTACTTTATAATATTCATCATAATTTTAATGAGAATTTATAAGTCCTTGTCGTACCCGTTCCGCTAACGACCCTCCACCGATCAAGGAAGCGGTAGGTGAAAGTGGACACCAATTAAGCTGCCATTTTATAGGCAGCAACTTTATACCCCCTTATAGACCGGCTTCGTGAATGAGGCCTACTAATGGTATGACGACTTGCTCTTTTATATATATATATATATATATATATATATATATATATATATATATATATATATATATATATATATGTATATTAACTTATAAAATTATAAAGCATAAGGGTTGATTTTTAACTTTTAAAAATCTAGGGGTTGGAACTAAAGTTTATTAAGTGACTTTACATGTTCCAAAACTTGAGGGCAAGTTTTGTAACTTTACAAAACCTTTCAAATTCATAACTTACAAGTTATTAAAATGAAGACTCTTCATTTTATAACTTATGTGTTCTTTTAATGGTTTTTAACACAAAGTGACTTTTGGTTATCCATAACTTGAGGACAAGTTATGGACTCCATTAAAACACATAAAGATCATGAATTAAACATTTAAACAAGAAATTTCTATGATCTATCAAAAACTCATAAGAACATGAATATTCATATCAATGTCTCAAGAACAAATGAAAACATAAGATCATGAAAAATTGATATTAGCCATTATAAATGGATTAGAACAGCCATTACACATGGACTTTCACTTGGACTCGTCGAGTCCTCCTTATGGACTCGTCGAGTCCCCTGTGCAGACAGCTCAAAAAATCTATTTTTAACACTATTTTCCATAAAGTATTAACAAACAAACCTAGATATTATACTACTGATGGGTTATGAGCATTCTAACACCCCTAAGTGTACATGCAACCCTAAAAAAGCTTGGATCTATGTTTTTCTAAAATACATGCAAAATATGATTTCGAAGGTTCATAATCATATCTAGCATACATGGGTAACTTTTAATCAAAAAGATGGCTAGAATTACACACCTTGTAGTTGATTTGATCCCTTGAAAACCCTAAGACCCTAGCACCCAAAGTGTGATGCCTCAAATCCTTCACACAACACAAAATGCTTTGGAATAACTTTAGAGTATGTATAACACTTATAAAAATCGGCTTTCCCTCTCTTGTTCTTAGTGTAGCCCATTTTCGTGAGTATCATGTTCCTTATATAGTGTGTCACACGTAGGGTTACACCATGTAAACGCTAATGTGACATGAGTCTTCATTTCCATGGCCCATGGGTTTGTAACTCCCATGGAGCATCCTATGGATTTAACCCAACTTGATGATCCATGCAGCCTTTTAGTCCACTATACAAGTTATGGATGATTTACATAATCAACCCATTGTTGGATTAATGTCTAAGTCCATAAGTATAATTAGTATAACTTGACCCGACCCGGCATGGTCCATTTGGGTTGCAGGGCATCAGGACAATTGGCTTGACAAGATGAGGAAAAATGATACTTGTGATTTATATTAATATATTATAAGTTATAATATATTAATATATAATCATATTATTTATTTAGTATTGATCAAGAATTAATTTGTAAATAATTAAGTGATCAAAAGGAACTAATTAAAGATAGACTCTATGATATATGTTTGTGATGGGCCAAGTTCATTTAGGTTGGCTAAGCTTTCATAGATAGTCCCACTACAAGAAAAAGACCCTTTTACGACGCGCAAACTACGACGCTCATTGATCTATGTTACGCAAAAGAGATCGACATTAAAAAAGTGTCATCTCTTCAAAAAATTTAAGGATTTAGGTCACGCATTATTGCGTGCCCTTAATTTAGTGTTATAAGAAAAAAAAACATGGAGGGCACCGTATCTTAAACACGCGTCGTCTGTGAGTGTCGCTTTATAGTTTTAATGAACGCGCATTCGTTTAGTAGATAGGGGGAAATGAAATCCCCAAAATTTTGAAAACCCTCCTTGTTTTCTACCTTTTTTCTATCTTTCATATTCACAATCGATTCTCTCCTATCCCTCCTCTCCAATCTGCTTCTCCCCTACTCCTGACCTTACTTGTTAATCGTCTCATCGGATCTCTGCTCTAATATCTCTCCGAAGATCAAGAAATTTCAAGCCCTAGTCTCCCTCTGAGGCAGAGATGAAAAGAGAAAGAAACATGAAGAATGCACCTATCGTTGTTACGACTTATGATGCTTCTCAAAGCTTCTCAAAGCTTTTGATAAGAACACTAGCTCAGTTGCTTCTCAAAGCTTTTTATAAGCACCCCGTCGAGTTTGCATACCGGAAATCGACCCACATCCTCAAATTAGTGTTTTTTTCATCCTTCAAATTACGTCCCACATCCTCCATAGATCGATCCTTATTGCTTCATTTCTCACAACAAATTGAATACTTTACATTCACAGGGCAACAAAATCAACTATTTCTGGAACTTGGGTTTCAGTTCCAATTGAAATTGAAGGGTTTCTGGTCACCATGATCAAAGGTTTACGGTCTCGTTTGTCAATGAATGCTCACAGGGCCATGGAAGCTAGGGTTTTTGGGCAAAGCTAGAATCGATCTTTTCTCGTTCCTTCGGAATCACGAAGACGCTGATTGTCGTGGAGTTCACGCGGACTATGGTTCAGAGAGTTATAAAATAATTTATCTTCAAATCCTGTTTGAAGAATTTCTAGTTTACACTAATGAGCGATGTGGAATAGATTGCATATCTGCTTTGGTAGTTTCCTTCCAAAATTGATGTTGTTCAAGTATTCTACAAACATTATATAAGATTATTAATAAAATCATTTACTCCAAAATCATTATATATGTTGTTTACCTGTTTGATCCGTTTGTTCTTATTTCTCAGGAGGATTAAAAAACTGTCTGATATTTATGGCTACTTGGAAAGTCCGGACAAGTAGTTTCTCAAAGAACTTTTCAGCTGCACCTGCCTCTTCTGTCCCTGGTCTCAAGTATGGACCAAATGGAACAATCTTTCTTTCATTAGGCATACCGGATCTTGATAGTAATCCCAATACCCCCATTTTATATTTTATTAAAGCATCTAAACAAGTATGACAATAATTTCTTAATGGATGAATTGTTTATGTAATATCTAGAGATTTTGGGTGGGGGATTCCATTTAGGAAGTCTGGTAATGATCATGGAAGACACTGAAGCACCTCATCATATGCTTTTGTTAAGGACTTTCATGTCTCAAGGAGTAGTACACAACCAACCTATTCTTTATGCAAGCTAATCAAAAACCCTAGAGCCTTTTTGGGAACCTTGCCAACTACTTTAGTCCCCAAAGATGACAAATCTCGTAACATTGATGCAGAACAGGTACTACTTTACTTTTTCCCATTTTTCCTTAGGAACATGCATCTTTCTCTTCACAACTACAACTGTATTAATGTAAATTCTACCTTTTTATGAGCTTGTAGAAGGATTTGCGGATTGCTTGGCAATATAAGAAGTACCTTGGGGAAAATAAGCAACATAACGAGGAGCGAGGTAATTTTGTATCTTTTTATCCATTGTGGGGATTTTTAGTATAAAAAGTAAACATCTTTTGTGTTGTGATAATGTGATGCAGATGGGAAACCGTGTGGAGTGTTTTAGCCTTTTAGATTGTTCAAATCTTGCTGGATTCCGTGATAGTTGTTCAAAGTTCATATCTCAATTTCCAAAGTACTGATGTTATTATTAGTAGTGGATTGATCTTATTAAACTTAAAAGTGGTCTTCATCATTGACTCTTACACCTAATTTTCATAATTCTAATCAGGTATGATGGAAATATCACAAGTGCAGGAAGAATTGCTATCCAATCATTTTGAAGCCTGTAGTCTTCAAGGGATATCAAATAGGCGGTGCAATCTGTGATGGAGCTACAGGGGCGACTGCCAAAACGCTTAAATTACCTCGTGAAGATGAGTTCTGGAGTAGGGGAATTAGTGTCTGCTATTCTAACATATTATTCCACATTCAGTTCCTGCAATTTTCCTTTTTTTTCACAAACATACATAGGAATTTCCTTTATTATTAAATTACACTAATGTTTTTCTTTGCCCAAATACAGATGCTTAATCGACAAGTAGTGAAGTCTCTAACTGCTACAATTAAGGTACTTCACTGTGTTCAGTTTGACTTGAAAGATTCAAATGTTGTATTGTATATAATTTGTAATCATTTTTCTCTTTGATGTTATTATAAGGCATGCCTTAGTGTGTTATTATATTACCACACAAAAAACTCACTTCTATCTTATTTAAGGAAAGGAACTCTGATGCTTGAAACTCTGTTAAAACGAACTTCTACTTTAGAGACTAACTTGGCTTTTATTTATTAAAAGTGCAAATGCTTATAGCAAATGAAAATAACTTTTTTCTAATTTACTATTTGTGTTTCTGATTTCTCCATTAATAATGAAGCTTTATGAGGTTCATCTTGATTAACGGTTTACACATTATTGCTAATGGTTTTAGCAAGTAAAAAAAACAACTTTGACTCTATATGATTCTGGTTCAATAGAGGAAAATGCATTCTTTTACCCCTTAAATTTGATTTGGATTAATGATGAAAGAATTTTTCTCTAATCCTTTTCCCAAAGTATGTTGACTTTCTTTCATATGTTTGTAGATTCCTCAGCTGGAATTTGAAATTCCTCCAGAAGCACAATGTGGATCTTTATCAACTATATGTTATGTATCTAGTGTTCAGGACTACATTTATTTGGAATATAAAAAAATTAGTCATTTATATTTACATGGTCTTTTGTTAGTGATGTTAATATACAATATTTAACAATTGGATATTACACATCTTGTTGATGTGAAAAAAATTGCAATTATCTCCCGTTCAAAGAGGTGGGCCAGAGAATCACCCTTGATCTCTTCTCTGTTGAAAAGACGTTAATGCCCTTCTCATCCACACCGTAAAAAATAGCCCTCGAATGATTTCTAGAGGTATCTACATCGATGAGGAGGGCTTTCACGTATTTTTTCACATATGAGAGATCAAGAACGAGTCCCTGTCCCACCATCTTTCAAAAGGGTATTTATGTCTTTTGGGTCTTGGACTTGGAGCCTACTAACACATCCAGGCTTATATCTGCTTTAGGTGGAAGGGATATTACTAAGAGCTTCTAAGAATTGCAAGCCCTTCAAGAAGAGAGAAAGGTAACTCTTCATATATAGTTATTTTTTTTTCTTTGGGCCAAAAGGAAAAAAGTAAGAGAAAGCCTTATGAATTCATGATACTAATTTATTTCCTTTACCCTTTAAATGACTAAGGGAATGTCCTGTCATCAAAGTATTTCAGGAGCTATATTCAAAAAATATAAAATATCCTTAATTATTTTACCAATATACACAATATATATATATATATATATATATATATATATATATATATATGCTTGATAAAATAACTCAAATGTGGTATTGTATATACTTCACTGTGTCCAGTTTTACTTGAATGATTCAAATGTTGTATTGTATATACTTTGTAATCATGAGCCACAAGCAACATTAGGATACCTGTTTGATCCTTCACGATCTACAGAGTTAACAATCAAACATCATCATATAATATTCCTTATGTAGGAACTGTTGAACCGCATGGGTCAGTTGGGGCAGTGGTCGGGTGGCAGGCAATTGTCCAGGGTAGTCTCGGAATCTTAGCTTTAGAGAAGATAGACGCACCCAGGTAATAACTTCACTTACTTTTTTGTTTTTTCTTCCATTCCTATCTTTCAACCTTATACATCATGCTTTCAAATTTATTCATATAGATTTGGCCTTACAAAACTATTTTGCACCTAATCTTATATTTGGTGTTAATATGTTGTCATTTATTTATGCTTTAAGTATTAATACCATAAAAGTTGGCCCTACCCCTCCCCTAAAAAGGCAACCACCATTGTGCTTTGTGGGGCAAAATAGTTTTTTTTTTTTTTCAAAACCCAAAACAAAATGAAATAACTGGGACCAAATAAGCAAATATATAACAATAAACTTTTTTGGACCAAACCTTTAACAAATGGAAAAGCACAAGGACCAACCTGTAATTTACTCATAAAACTTTTTTTTTTTTTTTTTTTTTTTTTGCAGCAAATTTTCCACGGAGACTATATCCAGTCTGAGTGAAAAATAGAGAAGACAGTTATGGATAGCGAACCAGAGTGCAACTATGATGCTTGTAAAGGTAATGAGTAGTTGTATGCATTTGGAATTTGCTGAAGCTCTCTTTCGATATACTGCTCTAGAAGAGGTACTTTTTTTTGGACTTATTGCTGGTTTACCTCTCCCACTTGAATATGAAGTTACTTCCATGGCTTCACAAAGTTACATTGTTTGATTAATTTGTATTCAGATTAAAGTAAATTGGGTTTGCTGAGATTGCTCCCCTGTTAAGTGCACCTTGAAAACTAAATAAAGAACAATATTAGAAATTATGCAAACGGTATTTTAGGTTATATGATTAGAGAGTACCATGTATTCACAACACATTAAGTGAAGCTCCAAAAGTTACAGCAACTAAGAGGAAAATGATAAATAATGATCTTTTCAATTACTAAGTTGTCACGAATTATCAATATTATAAATGATAAAGATAACCAAGAAAACACATATTATTGATATGGTTATAATTCATCTTTTTCCTACTTTATGCAGTAAAGTTGTTTTTGAAGATTTGAAGTTTGTTGTTGCAGCTAAGGAGCATGTGGGACAAAATTTGCAATTTTCCAGACTGAATAAGACTACTACTACATTACATGACCATGACCATGACCATGTCCATTTAATAAGTCTAAGACAGGATATATATTCAGACTATATTGATATATTTCCAGACTCAATAAACCAAGTTTCAGAATATTTATTCAGATGAAATGAATATTTTTAGGAAGAATGACAAATATGTGAAAAGTTAATAAGTCTAAGACAGGATTTTTGCTTATATTTCAAATCTAATATCTAAATTTGTAATATTATGTTATATACTATATTGATATTAACTAATCATATATATTTTAAAATACTTTTATGTTTCAGGTTTATGGTCCTGAAGCAGCTATATGGAGTGATGGTGTGATTCTTTACATTCTTCTTTGTGGGGTCCCACCTTTTTGGGGAGGTAAGTCTAAAGGAATAAAAGACTAATAAGTTAATAATTTAATAACTTATCAAATGCTCTAAACTTTCTTTTTAGTGACTGAATTTATGTTCTTTTTTTCTTCATGATAGAATCTGAAAATGAGATATTTGAAGTGGTTTTGAGGGGTAAACTCGACTTTTCCTAAGATCCACGACCTAGTATCTCTGAAAGTGCTAAAGATTTGGTTAGGAAAATGCTTATTAAAGACCCCAAAAGACGAATAACAACTCATGGTGTTCTTTGTAAGTCTTGGTTGTTATAAAATTTTCCTATAAGTATTATTTAGGCTTCTTATTGAACATTATTGGCTCCGAAATCAGCAGCAAGACAAATTGAATCAGCTCTGGAATGTAGTCGCGGATTGGCTCCGGAAAATTGTCAAAGTACGGGAACCCAAAAATGTCGAATTTGTAATAAAATATTATTCAATGGATATTTTTTTGTATATGATATTTTGTATGACATTAAATTTTATGAAATGGATTATATTTTTTGTATATGATATTTTATTTTCTATTATGAGATATTAAATGCAAAATTAATTTGAAAACTTGTAAATCTATAAAAAAATATATTTTTTTAAACATTTAAAATTATGATACGGAAAAATGTGTGCCATCTTCATTTATGACATGGCCTTTCTTGAAAGGGACTTTCTTAATACGCATTGTGTGTCATTAACACGCGTGTCATAAGGTTACGACACACGAATGCGTGTCGTCTTCGTTTATGACAGGGCCTTCCTTGATACGCATTGCGTGTCGTAAACGCGCGTCGTAAATGAGCGTCGTGAATGTGCATCGTTTGTAGACGACGCGCAAAAGCGCGTCGTCTCTCTTTATGACAGGGCCTTCCTTGACGCGCATTTGCGCGTCGTCTGAGCCTTTTACGACGCGCAATGAGCGTCGTAAAAGGCTGTTTTTCTAGTAGTGTCCATGGAGTGTTTAACCCATCGATCATATGAAATGAAGGGTCATGGGTTTAACCCTAATTTCCACACTATATAAATATGTCCTTGGTTGGTGAAATGGCACTAGTGTGTGTACACAAAAGGTCAAGGCAGATTTCACTAGAGAGAATCTAAGTATCCTTATTCTCAAGGTTATTCGAAGTTTTCATGGTGTTGTGTGAACTATTTGAGGTGTCACACTTGGGGCACTAGGAACTCAAGCTTCATGAAGACAAGTTACATCAATAACGTATGTATTCTATCCATTTTATTACCCAAGTATCAAAAGGTTGTATGCTATTTAAGGTAATACCTTGGAATATTCATATTTGCATGTATAATAGTGAAAACATGGATCCAAGGTATTTAGGGTTGCATGTAGACTTAGGAGTGTTAGAGTGCTCATAAACTAACACCCATATAATTAATTAGTTATCTTTTGATCACTTAATTAATTCTAAATTAATTCTTTATCAATACTATTTAAATAATACTTTAATACATTAGTACGTATAATATATTAATAAACCACAAATGTTATTTCTCTCATTTAGTCTATCCAAATGCATGATTCCATGCAACCCAAATGTATCATGCCGAGTCGGGTCAAGTACATACCAAATATAGTTACGGACTTAGACACCTTATCCAATAGTAACTTTCCATGCGAATGATGGTACTCGGCCTCAACCCGACGGCATGTCAAGCACCTCTCTACTACCCACGCAACATCCCTCTTCATACAGGGCCACCAATAATCTCTCTTCAGGTCCAA